ATATATATATATATATATATATATATATATATATATAGATATAAGGGTTAATTGCAAGTTGTGCCCTGAAAGATTATTCGTATTTCAATTTGTACCCTCAAAGATAAAAAATCTCAATTTGTACCCTCAAAAATAGAAATTTATATCAATGTGCACCCCCAAAAATCAAATATGTTAATTTGCACCCTCAAAGATAAAAATTTGTATCAATATGCACCCCCAAAGATAAAAAATCTCAATTTGTACCTTCAAAAATAAAAATTTGTCCAATATACTATGAAATTCAAAATCAAACTTACCATTTGAATGTCTAATAGAATAAAGGGTCGTACATTGAGTGATATATTACATTGGATATAAAAAATATTATATAAATATCTACATTCTATTAGACATTCAAATGATAAACTTAATTTTGAACTTTAAAGTATATCGGACCAACAAAATAAAGGGTAATATGAAATTATAATTTTTTTATTAAGATAAAATTATATTTTTAATGGTTATATTAACATATATCAACGAAAAAGGGTTACGTGTTACACGTGCACAAACGACATGAGATGTAAGAGAAATATTCTAAATGTGAAGAGGTCCAAATGATTAAGTGACAAACATGAGGGGATCTAGGTATAATTTATCTATTTAGTTTTAGATGCACATTGATACAAATTTCTATTTTTGAGGGTTTAAATTAAAATTTTTTATCTTTGGAGGTACACATTGATATAAATTTCTATCTTTGAGGGTGCAAATTGAGATTTTTGATATTTGGGGGTGCACATTGATACAAATTTCTATCTTTGAGGGTGTAAATTGAGATTTTTGATTTTTAGATGTATAAATTAAGATTCAAACTATCTTTCGGGGTACAACTTGCAATTAACCCTATATATAATGGGAAATGGAACTTGGACGAGGATCCAACCTCAGTCATTTTATTATGCTTTTTCAATTGAGAGATGATGAAAGAACCGATGAATGGAGCTTCAGTTAATTTGATAAATAACTTGAGCATAAACCTCGTCAAATGAGGAGCTGCAAAACCACCAAACATCGGATTTCAATAATATAAAAGGACTCAAAATTTCATAATAGAGAGAGAGAGAGAACAAAAAGAGAGATTGTCTCACGTACCTTGGACTAGTTCCTGCTTGTATTTCACTTCCGCCAAGTCAACTTCACTCGCCGGCAACATAACCCGTTTCTTCCCCATCTTCCGGTGACTAGAGGGTCTTTGTCTGTGTGTGTGTCTGTGACAGAGGGAGGGACAGAGAAAGAGAGGGTGTGTTCTTGTTGCTTTCTTCAGTTGCTATAAGTGGGAGATGCTTAAAAGTGGTGAGTGAAATACACACATTGCGCCTGTTAGCAAGTTCAGGGGCTTTATCTGGTGAAACTCTATGGAGCTTTCGGTGTTTGTTTTCAATAATATACCATCTCATGAATAGACAATTGAGAAAAGTTATGGATTAGACTTCTACGACAAAAACTCTTACGAATATAGGGAGGAATCACACTTTGTACCTCAACAAATTTAAATATCGTCATTTTTTACCCTCAAATGATGTGTTAAAAAAATATTGTAATATGACCCTTCAGTTGACTTCCGCTGATTATTTTGTCAGCATTAATGGGTGTTTTTTACGGAATGAGAAACAGAAGCTAACAATATCATAATATTTTTAATACATTCAAGATGCAATGTAAACATTTTAATCTTTGTACATATAAACTGAGAATTCTTAAATCTTTTATTGTATTGTTTACATCCAAAATAAGCAAAACCAGAGGATTACACGTGAAAGAGATCCAACAGTCATGAAAGAATCTATGAGAGTCCATGAATGATAAGGCACTTAGAAAAGTAGGACTCTAAGAATTCCAGGAAATGAGAAGACGTGACATCATAAGCCGCCAATAGGAGACCGTTCAGCGCACTTCTATGCATCTCGAGGGAAAGACCATGATTACTGTCATAGTTGAAAAATATGACTTCAAGGCCATTAAAAAAAGAGAGTTACCATGATCAAACACAACAAACTCTACACAAAACCAATCTACCTTATACTTATTTTTACTCCCGACCAACTTTAATTTTTTTGTAACCCATCATTCCGGTGATTTTTTACTGGTTTTATTTAATGTTAAATGTAGTACTTGTTTCATATTCCAAATTCAGTCTAATTGTTGCTTTGCATTTCAGTTGACTTTTTAAAATTTCAATCCATTACACTATTAGTTGAAAAATTATTTAAAATCTTTGAACCCTACATCGTATAAATGAATTCAAAGGTAATTTTACGTCTCAGTATAATCAATTGAATAGTCTCAATTTAAGAATTTCACACCGGTTCAAATAGGTAATGTTATCCTTGTTTGGATCTTAAACCAAGTTAAACTTTGGCACACTCACAAACTTCTTTTATTTTTTTTTTCTTTCCTTCCTTAACTTAAATACGCCAACTGACTATAGTATTATACTAAAATTTGGTGAGGTGAGGTTCAACATCGTGAGAATGCTACATATGAGAAAAAAAAAATGTAATATTACATTCAAAATCGAATTAACAAAATCTACAAATGCAAATCCTAGATAAAAAGTACAATGTTCAACAAAATTGTCCAAGAATAGACTCGCTGTGATTGTAGTGCTAATAAAATAAATATACGATTATGTGGTGGTATTTAGAGGATATTGAAACTATCATGAAGAAGTAGTGGTAATATATGCAAGACCTACTACCTCATGACTTCTCTAAAGTATTGAAACTATTATTTTAGTGTAATTATATAGTTGGCTTGCATTGTTTTTTGGCTAAGAAAATAATATATAACAATCTATCACTTTCTCTTTGAAGGTAGTAGTAAGAAGACTTTTAAGAGAGTCATGATCTTATGATCAAACTTTTTGTATTGGTACGAGGATAGGAATAAACAAAATGGAGAACGATTTTCTAAAAAGAGGTTTACTTGAACTTACCCAAGTTTACTTGAATAACACTTTAAAAGCAATCGCATATTGATAATCCGTTATAAAACTAAGAGAAAGAGAAATAGAGATAACAAAGAACAAGAAACATAGAATTATAGTGAATATATCTGCTCAAGCATTGTGATTAGACCTATTAATGGAATGAATTTTGATCTAATTAATCAGATATAAATTGATATATTTTTTCATCGATAATCAAAATTTGAACCCGAATTCGAATAAGATATTTTATATTGCATGTATTCGGATTCGGATTTAGGTATACCTATACCTGATCCAATTACGATTCAATCTGAATTATTTATATAAATATTAAAGAAATTAAGTGATTATTTAAAAAAATTTAGTTAAAATTTAGGTATAATTTTGTTATAATTTAATTAATTAAATTATTCAAATCAAACTGAATATTAAATTGTTAATGAATTTAGATATTGAGCACAAAAATAAAATCCGTTGTACACACATCAAATTAGTGTTTGACGATGATTCTCTTAACATTCGAGACCACCTTACAGAGCTCATAATTGAAGCCTAGAACACCATTGAACTCCACTACACAGTTTCTTACAATAAATTACTCTCCTCTTGTAACTAGATAGTTCTACCGTGATCAAACTCAAAAAAAAAAAAAAAAATGCATTGAGTGTAAAAAATTTATATTTCGTTTTATGTGGGTCCTCCTGGATANTTACTCTCCTCTTGTAACTAGATAGTTCTACCGTGATCAAACTCAAAAAAAAAAAACAATGCATTGAGTGTCAAAAATTTATATTTCGTTTTATTTGGGTCCTCCTGGAGAAAAAGGCTAATGCTAGTGGAAAAAATATTTGTTACAAATGGTATTGTCATGTCAGCATTAATATTTAGTATCATCAATTAATAAAGTATAAATAAATAAATAAAAATGAACCCACATAAATTAATAACTACCTGGCTATGTAAGTCATAACTACTCACTATTCTTTTATATAAGTCAATAATTATTCAAGTAAAATTTATTTACCTATTTAAGATTTTGTTATTGATTGATGATATCATATTAACAAATATTAATATAATATTACCGTTGCATTACATATTTTCTCATGCCAGTGGGTCATTGATTTACTCATTGACNTGTCATGTCAGCATTAATATTTAGTATCATCAATTAATAAAGTATAAATAAATAAAAAAAAATGAACCCACATAAATTAATAACTACTTGGCTATGTAAGTCATAACTACTCACTATTCTTTTATATAAGTCAATAATTATTCAAGTAAAATTCATTTACCTATTTAAGATTTTGTTATTGATTGATGATATCATATTAACAAATATTGATATAATATTACCGTTGCATTACATATTTTCTCATGCCAGTGGGTCATTGATTTACTCATTGGCAAAGTGTGTTTATTATCTCTCTAAGATTGTTTTTGCCTTGCATTTTCTTCTCACTTTGGTTCTTTGGTTTGTCAATTATCCATGTAAAAGGACTCTTGTTCTAATTCGAGTGAAATGGAATTTTTTTTTTGTGTTTTTTTTTTTTTCGTTATTTTGACTGCTATAGTTTTCGAGCAATATTACAGAGAATTAATTTGAAGAACTAATGAGAGACTTAATTCAATGCCTGTGAGCTTCAAGGATAGATGGAGCTCACTTTCAATTCAAGAATTACATTGAATTAGGTCCCCAAATTAAGTCCAAATAAAATTTTTCGTAGTATTAATATTTGTGTATTCAAAATTAAAAGTGATGCAGTTGATATATAAGTGGAGGGGTAGTTCTTTGGTATCCCCAAAAAATTTATTAATTTTTGTAGTCAGGTTACATCTTTAAAAGGTAAAATTATAACTATTTGAAATAATTTCATGATTGATCATGAAGGGCCATGGCCTAAGTTGACAGCTTACNTGTGTATTCAAAATTAAAAGTGATGCAGTTGATATATAAGTGGAGGGGTAGTTCTTCGGTATCCCCAAAAAATTTATTATTTTTTGTAGTCAGGTTACATCTTTAAAAGGTAAAATTATAACTATTTGAAATAACTTCATGATTGATCATGAAGGGCGATGGCCTAAGTTGACAGCTTCCGTCATAATTTGTGACAGTGGGGACTACCTTCGCACGGCCCTAATGAATATATATTTGGAAATTAAGTATGATGCCGCCAAAATGAAAAATTATTTAATTAGTTTAATTAAAGAAAGACCATGTCTAAAACTATATTGAAAATTAACGTATGACGCTGCCAAAATGAAAAAATATTTAATTAAAGANTGGGGACTACCTTCGCACGGCCCTAATGAATATATATTTGGAAATTAAGTATGATGCCGCCAAAATGAAAAATTATTTAATTAATTTAATTAAAGAAAGACCATGTCTAAAACTAAGTAAGAGTAGAGATGTTTGAGAAATCATGATATGCGTATAAGTATATTGAAAATTAACGTATGACGCTGCCAAAATGAAAAAATATTTAATTAAAGACGATTAATAGATTAGTTAATCAAGAACCTAACAAAAAATTAGTATAACAAACCTCAAGATTAACCATTAAAGAAAGACCATGTCTAAAAATAAATAAAAGTAGATGTTTGAGAAATCATTGCGATAGACTAATATATTGAAAATTCACGTATGATGCTGCCAAAATGAAAAATATTTAATTAAAAACTATTAATAGATTACTTAATCAAGAAGCTATCAAAAAATTAGTATAGCAACCCTCATAATTAACCACTAAAGAAAGACCAGGTGTAAAAATAAATAAGAGTAGATGTTTGAGCAATCATCGTGACCCTCTCATGATGTATATTATAATTTCTTTTAACTCTTTATTGTATATATATATGTAAATATTATTTCAGTATTGTAACAATAATTTTACATTTTTTTTTCATANTGTATATTATAATTTCTTTTAACTCTTTATTGTATATATATATGTAAATATTATTTTAGTATTGTAACAATAATTTTATATTTTTTTTTCAGANAGAAAGACCAGGTGTAAAAATAAATAAGAGTAGATGTTTGAGCAATCATCGTGACCCTCTCATGATGTATATTATAATTTCTTTTAACTCTTTATTGTATATATATATGTAAATATTATTTCAGTATTGTAACAATAATTTTACATTTTTTTTTCATATGTCACTAAGAGAGTAGATAGTTCGGCAAAGATGTTCAATTTTTTTCATTAATTTCTTGTACTCATGAATCGTTA